GCCTGGGGGAAAAGGTAACTAGGAGCAGGTGACACTGCTGGCACTATGCAGGGTTCACTGTACCAGATAGCTAAGATGCTTCTATTCTGATCTCAAAATTCTGAACCCAGGACTTGTCAAGTAAGAAAGAAAATAACTGGAGAGCCAAGATGGAGCTGGAGAAATGGTGGTGGCGGATCTTGGTGTGGAGAGGAGTGGGGGCAACAGGCTATGGGAGGACTTAAAACTGGACTCCCAGTAAGAAGATGTCTCATCACTTGTTCCCACTGGCCATGGAGGACGATGAGAAAACAGCAGACACCAAAAACGTCAACCAGATCCTTGACCATGAAAACAAAACAAAAAACCTACACCACTTAATTTTGCTTTAAGCAAAAATGAAAAGTGGTTTTCTCCAATACTGATGTCCCCTCTGGCAAGAAATTCAAGTCAGCTACAGTAACTGTTGCCTCTGTTTGTTGCACAGAAGTAAAAATGCTGTTTCTTAAACACAAGCATAACCACGTGGACAGAGCAATGGAGACAGAAAAATAGTAGGAACCAGAGTAACTGAAACTATGAAACTATGATCCCTCCCAGAAGCCTGGAACTGTGGTCACGTTCCGTGAACCTGGAGCTACGGTCCCCTCCCATGTGCTGGCCCTTCCTGTGAGCTGGAGTTGTGGTCCCTAATCACGAGCCATGGTTCCACATTCCTCTGATGGTGGGCTGATGGTAGAGCAGATTGTAGGACGGAGGTCTCAATGCTAGGCAGCACTTTCAGCTTTCTCTGAGTGGCTGCACTCCCCACAACCCCTCCCCCAAGGTTTCAGGCTATGCACTGCAGTGGTTTTGCCTCTGTGTTAGGCTTATCTTGGGGACAGGGGAGGTTTCTGTCATTTTCAGATTCTAGTCTTGGGAGGACTGATTCTCTGGAATGGACCTCCTACCTCCCTTGATGACCAGCTATGGTCTTGACTCCACATGTGGTCCTGGGCACCCAGGCCTTGATGTTGGCTCTTTCCCATTCCCAGGCACCAAGAGGTTTTCCATCATTTTTCTATTACTCTTCTACAGTCCCATGAACCTTTACCTGTGCCCTAAAGAAACTGTAAATCACCCAATTGAATTCTGAGAGATAAAAATCACAGTCTGGGAAGTTAAAAATAATAAAGCTGGGTGTGGTGGTACACGCCTTTAATCCCAGTACTCAGGAGGCAGAGGCAGGCCTGGTTTACATAGGGAGTTCCAGGGCCAGCTGGGGCTACCAGGAGACCCTGTCTCAAAAAGACCAAAAATAAATAAATAAATATTTAAAAATTTTAGTTTAAATGAAAGAGACAAGTTCCCTGAAAGATACAAGTCACCAAAACTCACGCAATAAGAAACAGAGAACCTCCACTGAAGAAAATCAGTGGTTAAAACCTTTCAGCCAGGAGTGGTGGCACATGCCTTTAAGTGTTTTGTTTGTAGCTAGGGCTACAGGGAAACCCTTTCCCAAAAGATAAAACAAAACAACAACAAAACTCCCTTTCCTTTAGCTAGGTGTGGTAGGAGAATGCCTGTAATCCCAACACTTAGGAGGCTGAGGCAAGAGGATTGCAAGTTTGAGGCCAGCCTGAGCTACATACTCTAACTCAAAACAACAAAAATTTCTGTCATAGAAACTCCTTGCCCAGATGGCTCCACTAATTCAAGGAACTTTTTTATTGTTGTTTTATTTATTTTTTTTTGTTTTTGTTTTTGAGACCAGGTCTCACTATGTAGTCTTTGACCTGGAACTTATTATATAGACCAGGCTGGCCTCAAGAACTCACAGAGATCCTCCTGGCTCTGTCTCCCAAGTGCTGGGATTAAAGACATGTGCCACCATGCCCAGCCTATCATTTAAAGAGGAAACAATGGTATTCTCTAAAAACTCTCCCAACAAACTAAGGAAACAGAAATATTTTCCACTTCATCCAGTAAGGTAAAGAGATGACAGTAAAGCCAGACAAGAGAACTGTAAGAGGTCTATAGACCAGTATCATTCATGAACACAAATACAGAAATCCTTAACAGTAGGAGAGCTATAGCTCAGTTGGTACAGTGCTTGCCTAGCATGCTAGGCCTCCAGCAATGCATAAATCAGGAATGGTGATACACACCTGTAATCCCAGCACTGAGGCAGTGAAGGCTGGAGGATAGAAGTTCAAGGTCATCCTTTATTACATAGTGAGCTTGAGACCAGCCTGGGATGCATGAAATCTTGCCTCAAAAAAAGTCCTTAATAAAACCTTAGTAGGTCAAATCTAGCAATGTATATAAAGTGTCATAGTAGATGATATTAACCCAGAGAGAGTATCACTTGGCAGGAGAGAGAACTCTAGAGAAGGTGACTTCTGAGAGGAACCTTGATAGAGAAACAAATTTAATAGGTGGCGATTTGGGGAAGAGAAAACAATAAGGAAAAGCTCAAGTGAGTTTAAGAAGGTGCAGTCTCCCCTAGAACAGGTGGTACATTGGCACCAACAAGGGTGGCTACTGAGCTTCCAAAGAAGTGACCCAGACATGGAGCTGAGCCCTAGGACCAGGTGTGTGCTATGATCCTGCCTGCAGCCAGCACTGACCATTCTAGAATCACACTTGGCACCAAGCGACAGCCATTAGTTTTCCTGCTCAAGAATCTGACATTGGAATGGAGAAAGACTCCTAGCCTGGGGGACCAAACAGAGCTGTTGAGGGAAGGCCTGTTAACATTGGCTTTTTTGGGGGGGGTCTTTTTGAAACAGGGTCTCTCTGTAGCCCCAGCTGGCCTGGAACTCACTATGTAGACCAGGCTGCCCTTGAACGCACAGAGGTCCACCTGCCTCTGTTTCCCAAGTGCTGGGATTAAAGGCGTGTGCCACAACACCATTTTCCCTAGGCTTTTCTCCAATTTCTTGGTTCCTGTGAAGTGCCAATAGGCTTTCTTATAGACCTTCCTTTTTGGCCTCAGTGAAGGAGAGGCAGTTTCTGTTGCTTGCAACCACAGAACATGGATGAGTTCATCAAGCAGCATCAGAGTTACCTCAAGCTTACCTCCACTGAAGAGTTCTATCCCTGTACCAAAGTATGAAAATCCCTAGACCACAGCCAAGGATCTGAGAAGGGAATCCTGGAAATTAGATCAAGGTGGAAAGGCAAGTAAAGTCTGGATACTTCATGAGGCAAGACAGGAGGGTGGAGGTTAAGGGAAAAGGGAGGCACCAAAGTTTCCTGAACAGCAAAGGACAGGGTCAAAGCAGTCTTGTAAGGGGTGCTATGGAGGGTGGATTATGAAATAGCAATATTCTTGACCCTGGCAGGGGTTGACAATCAGCAAGCCTGAGATAATGAGCACTGGAACAGCAGGCCCAATCTCATTTGTTCCTGCCTTGGTTCCCATCTCCATCTCTGGCTGGAGCCAGCCCTGGGCAGGCACTCTTGGAAAGTTGGCTGATCATACAGGCTGGGAAGAACTGACAAACTGGTGAGTAACTGTTGGGAGCAAGGGAGGCAGAGCATTGAAGGTCATGGCCACTGCAACAGAAACAAAAACAGGAAGGAGTATGTACTTATAAGGGGAAGTACAACATGTCAAGGTGTGCTGGAATGATGAGGTGGGGAATCCAGTATGCTAGCAATGGGAACTGACTCCAGAGCCTTCGGGAGACAGCAGGTGTCAGGGATTTTTGGCTTTCAGTGGCAGAGTCTGTGTGGCAGGTAGTGAGCCAGGCACTGGAGGGGTAACAGAAGTCCAGGGGAGGGAAGTGAACTGTAGGGGTAAACATCAGCAGGAATTAGAACCTGTCATACTTTTTTTTTTGGGGGGGGGTCTTTTTGAGACAGGGTCTCCATGTAGCCCCAGCTGGCCTGGAATTCACTTTGTAGACCAGGCTGGCCTTGAATTCAGAGAGATCTGCCTGCCTCTTCCTCTCAAGTGCTGGTATTAAAGGCGTATGCCACCATACCTGGCTCACCTGTCATGTTTTTTTAAAAAAAGTCTCAGGCTGTGGAGCTGGGGTGTAGCTCAGTAGTACAGTGCTTGCTTTGCATGCACGGGGCTCTGGGTTCCATCCCAGCACCACAAGAAGGAAAGGAGGAGGAGGAGGAGGAGGAGGAGGAGGAGGAGGAGAGGGAGGAGGAGGAGGGGGAGGAGGAGGAGAACAGGAGGAAGGTAGGTCATCTCAGGCTGTCTTCAGCTATGCTATGAGGACAATGGTTTGCACTGAGGAAACCAGGAGGCCATCTGTGCTATTTACTAAGGAGATGAAAGAACAAATTATGACTCAGAATCATGTTAAAAGGAATCAGGCATTTCCATATGGATGCTAATCACTGTGCCAACTCACAATATGAGAAGGGCAGGACAGGTGTTAGACAATGTGGATACCCACTGATGGTTACAGGTACAGCAACAAAATTGGAAGTCCTCCTAACTGTGGTTGTATACTTATCTTAGTAAACACTATCCTCACCTACTCTACAATGAGCTTACTGAAAACCTCCCAAAATACCACTTGACACTAAGTGTCAACCTGTGCCAAACCCAGCTCTTGGGGATATTGCTGAGCTAATGTTTCTAAATATGGCCATGGGGAGCTAGGTAGGCCAACACCAGAAGCTGCTCCTAGTGTTGGGCACCAAGGGAGGGACTGGCACATGCCAAGTTCCAATTTGACTAGTTTCACCTCTGATGTCAGGAAAGTGGTCATTGGCTAAGACACCTGTAAAGCAGAGAGGGGTCTGCAGAAAGCCACAGAGAGAAGCCAGCCTCACTGGGTTAGACAGTCATACTCAAACCTTTTCCCACTATGCCTGAGTCACCAATGCCTATGGCTTCAGTCTGTAGAAAAACACCTGCAAAATTCTAACGAGGCTCAAGAGCTTTGTGGGAGTCTGCCTCAGAGGTCAGAAAGGAAATTCCTTGCCAAAGTATCTTCCCTCTCAGTGGAGGTGAGGGATGCTACTGAGCACATCATTGGGTCACAGACATGAAGGCAGGTGATGAGCATGCCTACCTTTGTTATGAGACATGGCATAAAGGAGGCAGAGCACAAAGAGGGCATGGTAATCATCATCAGGGCTGTCTAGGGCATGGTACACCATATCCAGGAAGGGCCTGAAAAAAAGGAGAGACAGACATAAGTAAGCCTCTTGGCACAAACTATACATCTCCCCTCTTCCACCTGCCCATGGGGCATCAGTAGGCCTTGCTTCTCATGGTTCTGAGGCTACCAGTTTGTGGTAAGTCCAGTGTGTACCTAGTCTAGCATCAGGCACTGGGATCACAGCCATACAAATGACAGAGGTGCTCTGCTTCAGGAAAGCTGACTAAGAAATAGATCATTTAGTAGCTCCACATTCATTCACTGGTTGTCTTAGACCATAGGGGTCATGGTTATAAAGTCCCTATGCTTTGGGGAGAGGGTAGGTTCTAACCTCCATCTGTGTAGTGGCTCTGATCTCAGCAGACCACCAGAGAGTGCCGAGTTCTGGCCTCCCTCTGGCAGAGGGCTTGAGAATGCAGGGGACTGCCTGAGAGCCCCCTGATCCTGCCTCCACGTGGTGGTAAGCTTCCCTAATTGTGACACACCCATCCCCCTACCTGGGATTTAGTGAGGCCCCTCTAAAGGCTGCAGGGCAGATTTGGCTTTGGTAGGCTAAAGCTGAGATCCTAGCAGACAGTCTGAGAGGGTGGGTTCTGACCTCCATTGGTGTAGGGGCTCTGCTCTCAGCAGACGGCCAGAGAGTGCCCAGTTCTGGCTTCCCTCTTGCATAGGGGCTGAGAATGCAGGGGACTGCCCAACTGCCCGAGAGCGCCCGGATCCTGCTTCCACATGGTGAAGGAAGCCTGAGTGTACCTGACTAGAACCTGAATTGGGCTTCTGTGGGTACTCCTGAATAGCTGATCTGAAGCCATCAGTTCCCGCCAAATTAAACCTGACAGAACCTGAACTCTGTATCAACCAGCTTTACACAACTAATAAAGAAAGGATCTAGGCACCTGGCTTTGCTATTTATAATACTGATGTTCTTTCTGTGGGTTCAGAGCTAAAATAAAGCTGGGTAGAAGCGTAAGTTTCCCTTCTGAAGAGACGTGTGGTTCTCCAGCTTCCCTCGCTGAGGCTGCGTGGCCAGATGCCCCTGCCCCACCCCATTATGATAGTTTGAGGCCTATACTAATGTAGTCAGAGGGACTTAAAGGAAAAAGGTAATTAGGGAAATGCAAAATTTTTGCCCCTTGCCCTCCAAGGTAGACTAAGTTCCAGGGGACTATGGAATATCTCTCAAAATGTCCTGGAACTGTGGCGAGTCACCTGTCCTCTTGTTCAAGGAGGTCACGGAGACCCCACCAGATGGACTTGAACCAGTGTCCAGTCTACAAAAGGAGGGTCAACTCAGAGGAAACATCTTATTCATGCTTCTAAGTGAAGCCAGACATGGTAGAGCAGGACCTTTGACTTATCTTCACATAGATGGAACCGGTGAAATAAAGGAGCCAGGAGCTCCTCCCAAGCCCATGTGACCCCTGAGGAACAGATCCTCAAATGACCTTAAGTGTAAAAATAAATTGATTTATTTGGGCCAACTGTATGGTCTTAAATATCCAAAAGGAAAGTATAACCAAAGATTAAAGGGATCAATACAATTCTTTAATATTCCATGTGTATAGCTAAAAGCTACATAACAAGAAACAATGCTAGACAGGAGATACCTTCTTTTGAGTTGCTGGCCAGGGTGGCCCAAGAGATGCCCAGACAGCAACCCAGCATAGAACTGGGAAAATGCACAGCAGATCCCAACCTTATCTAAAGGAATACTGTCAACTGATTGCTGCTAGATGAGGAAGAGCTGATCTTCCTAAAACAAGGATCTCTAGATAGGCTGACTAGATTCAGCAGATGGACAAGCACTAGGGAACGGCTGGGGGCACCGACAACACAGTGGACAGTGACAGGGATTACTGACACTGATTCTAACCACTCCATCAACTATCAAAATACCTGAAAGAAAATCCTGAATCCATCACTCTAGAGTCTAGTCTTGGAAAACAAAAGAAAAATGAGGAGTCCAATGGACTCTCATATGGACATTGGAAATTGCCTTTTTCTGACATTTTTCTAGTTCCCTGTCTAGAACTTGTAATGCTAACTACTCTTGCCTTTACTTCTCCTTCACAACTCCTAGGCACCAGTCAAGGACTTTCTTTTCTCCCTAAAGTTAAGTGTTATGGAATTTGGGAGTCTTTTAGATAGACCCACTGAAGGGTATTCCAATTGCCTCACCCTGCTTCCCTGTTCAACATGGAAGAAGCCAGAGTGGTCTGTGTCCCGATTCCCTATTGGCAATTTGGGTAACTCTTCAGAGGATGGTGTGATAAGAATGGGAGGTAGGAATTGGCTAGGCAGTTAGGGTAAAAAGACCCCAAAGAAAAGTAGCCAGCTTCTTGGCTAAAACTCACAATGTCCTTGGGCCTCTTAGCAACATACTGTTCCAAAGGCCAAAAATGTTGAAAATATTTGGGAGCTTTGAACTAATCCTTCAAAGATTTTAGGGTTACCTCTTCAGAGGGGAGAATGTTAGAGTAGCCAAAAGCCCCATAAAATAAATAAATAAATCAAGAAGAAAGAGTACATGAAGTTATCAGAAAAAAGTGATGGGGAATATGGGAGGAGTTGGAGGGGAAGGAGTGGGCATGGATTTGGTCAAAACACCTTATATGCATATATAAAATTTTCAATAAATAATTTATTAAAAACAAAAAACAAAGTCCCTATGCTTTGGTACTTCCATGCCAGCTGGCAGAGAGAGCACAGACATATACCATCACTTTAAAAGGATGATAGAGAGAATAAAGAAAACAAAATAGACATCAAAATAGACTGACACCACCACCAAGACACAAACAGCAATGTGAATATGTTTAAGAAAGCATAGGTATTGTAGTCAGACCACCTGGGTTTAAATGCTGATTTCCCTCTTTTTGGTACAAACCCCTTGGCAAGTTCCTTAAGTGTCCCACCTCCCCAACTGTATGGAAACATTCAAACCTGGGAGGTTGACGGTGAAGACTCAAGCCAAGGCTGATTAGAAGGCCCTCAGCACCCACTCAAGCACTATTTGATTGCTAGATTTAAAATTTCAAGGAGAGCTGGACATGGTGGTGCAGGTCTTTAATTCCAGCACTCAGGAGGCAGAGGCAGGCGGATCTCTGTGAGTTTGAGGCCAGCCTGGTCTAGGTAGTGAGTTCTAGGCCAGCTGGGGCTACAGGGAGACCCTGTCTCAAAAAGACCACCACCACCACCAACAAAAGAAATTCAAGGCCATTTCATGATTTTATTTTGGCAAGGTCCTGGCCCAGCAACTTCTTGGACTAATGTTCCTGGACTGGAAGAACTGATACTGAAGTCTCTTACATCCTATGCTCTGTGGGTATGGTATAAAGAGCAGCTGCAATATGGGAACCCCACACCCCAAATGCTGCCCTTCCCAGGGCAGGGTCTAGTTTGGCAGGGTGCTTTAACAATAGATAACAGAGTATGTATAGAGCAGGCCTGGAGGTAGTAGACTCTGATCCCATCTAAGGTAGCCCCTCTGAGTGCCAGGTTGAGGCCAAGAGAGCAGAATACTGCAGTGAATAAGCAAGGATGAATTTAACTCCTGGAAGGACTCACAGCTATTATCAATGTGGGCTATTTATGAGAAGTAAAAATGAGACTGTTGACTAAATAATCTTTCATACCGTCTTGAATTTTGTATACTTTTGTGAAGTGGAGGGCAGTGCTGGAGTTGAGGGCCCTCAGGATGCCAGGCAAGTGTTCTACTGTTGAGTCATACTCCCAGCTCCCTGTTTTGAATCTTCAACTCCAAAATGCATCATCAATACAAAATATTAAATTGAAAAATGAAAATGAAGTAATGAAAATGTACTTGTCATAACACTTCAAATAAACATATGACACAAAAATTTAAAGAAAAAGCTTAAGGGGGATACTGATATTCAGTCTCTATTTTTCTGGCACCTGGGATGGGGCTCCACCATGCAGACAGGTTCACAGCTTTGCTGTGTGTAGTTTGGGTTGCTGTCAGTGTCCAGCAATAATTCTGCCAATTTGAGAGTAGGGTAAAGTATAAAACATTTCCTTGTAAACCAGCTGCTTGAAATTTGGGTTATAGTTGCACTTGGGAATAATATGAATAATCAGGCACAGTAAACACAGGGAGGGCTGCATGGATGAGCTATCTTTAAGTATGAGATGAAGTATTAAGAAGTCACTAATTATTCTGCTTACTAACAGGATAATGATGTTGGGGTTTGGTATTAGATAGCAAAAGGAAGAATAAAAATGGTAGGCATGAACCAGGGAAAAGGGGTGTCCCAGAAAGCCAGCACTGAAAAAGTTGGTAAGAAATAAAGTAATAACACCTGGGATCATAGTCTTATCCTTCTTTACATTTCTGGAGTTTTCACATATTCTGAATGTACCACCTGTCTTTTATTATTTTTTTTTTTCAAAAACCCAGGGACATCTTTTATTTATACTTTTGTCTAAAAATATTCCATTACTATAAAATATGCAGAAGTGGAAGATACCCAACCGGCGGGTTCTCCTTAAATTATGAAACGCTGCTTTAACTAATGGGTCCCTGTTGCCTACAGTGTTCATGGGGAATGGGCTGCCCCAGCTATTTTGAGCATTATCAGTGCCATTCATCCACTTCTTAGAGGAGAATATCATTATCATGAGAAATATGGAAATTAATAGTCCTAATATAACCCATCCTGGAATAATATTTCCCATTCTTTATACCTCAGCTGCTCTGGGCTTCAGAACACAGCACTGCAAGACAGGCTGACAGTGTAAAAGTTGTGGGCCCACTAACCACTGAGAAATAAGACTGGTCTCTCCCCTACTTCTGTGGAAGTGACAAAGTTTATGCAGGTGTCTTTTTTCAAGACGAGAACTAGTCAGGAAGTGTCGAAGGGATGGAAAAAGAAATACAATCTTCTTTTTTCTATTTTCTGAAAATCCTCTTTATGTCTCAAAAGCCTTTGAAATGCACCTTAGTAATATGTG